AATTGCTAGCTCTGCTGTGATGCATTTGGATTTATTGTCGTCTTAAACTCTCTGCCAGGCACTTTTTAGCCCAGCATTTGAAAAATGCCCGCTGTTGTGGCCCTAATTTTAAAAAAATCATTGTGTCCTTATCATTCAGTGTCCAACAGTGAAACACCCTGCTCTTGGGTGCTTGGGAAGTGCTCTGGTGTGGCCTGCTCCTTCTTTCCTATCAAACATCTACTATCCCTCCTTCTCTTCTTTTTTTTTTTTTTTTTTTAAACTCTGGTGAGACCGGTAATCTTGGGCATGCTTACTAAAACAAAACGAAGTAACTATTTGGACTTGTGTCTGATTTTTAAAAAATATATTCTGGCTCTGAATCGAGTCCAGCATGACGTCACTTCCGACAACGAAAAATGGTCCGATTAGGCAATGTATAGATCGATGAATTTACACAGCCAAATATCTAGCATCTGTGTTTGTTGCCATTTTATTGTCCAAAAGTTGTCAATAATTTTCAAGCTTTAAGCTCTGTGTGACGACGTATATGGCAATATGTTGATAGAGGTAACTTAATCTAAAATACCAGAATTTCTTGTGGTCTGTTTCAAGCATCCAGTAGATCATTTGTAGCCACAGAGAGTGTAAAAACGGGAAACATAAAGGTTTCACAACAGAATGAAATCAAAATTAGAACAGAACATAAACTAAAATTAACAGATAAGAACGTGTGTCCACCTATCCGAAGAGTGACCGTTTTAACCCTAAACGTGTGTTATTCAAGAAAAAGTACAGGATATTACATGTAAATTATGAAATCACACACGAGGGGCCTGCCGTGTCAATACATGTACATGTATCTGGGTTTGGTGGAGACACGCTCTCACATAACGCTTTTTTTTTTTTAAGATAGGAACAGCATCAAATTAAATTATATTGACATTACGATAAATGCTAAAAACAGAAAACACATCAGAACAATAACAAGAAATTAAAAGAAAGAGCAATATAAATAGTATGTAAAGCACAAGACTTTTTTTCACATGAAAATAACAAATAAACGTGGGGTCAACAAGTAAGAAAGAGAAGAAGTGAAGCGGAAGTGTAAATAAGCTTTCTTTCTAAAAGTAAAAGTTCGGGGGGGGGGGGTTCAATTTTTTCTTCCCCGGCGGTGTTGTTTTTGGAGATATACAGAAATTCGCGGACCAAAAACTGCCAAAAATCGCGGCCGCAACAAACGCAGATGCTAGAAATATTACTCCCAGATTTCACTAATCTACCCTTGTTCCAAAATATTTCAGCATTTAATTTTGATAATGATTAAATTTGAGATGTGAGCCTTTTTTGGGGGTCCGTTTATACTTTCAGGCACTGGTTACAGTTTTTCCTTCCTCTTTCTTTCCTTTTAAATTTTTCTTCTGTAATTCAACTGATGTGCATGAATTCCGTTGTCATTGTTCAGTTCTTCTCTTGACTGCATAGTTCTATGTGTTTTTCCTTGTTTTACAGCCTGCCGCCACCAAGCAGCCATCCAGACAGAAGGCCTCCAAGAATGTCCAGAAAGCAGCTCCTCGTGTTGGAGGAAAGCGATGATTTTGATGACAATAAATGGTTATAAATATTTCCTGAGTATTTGTTAATTCTATGCAATTCTCTGTTCAGACTGTGTTTGTCATGACTGTGGTGTCTTGTCATGATAGCTTTCCTTTGAGCATATTCTTACTGTTGCAATTTCAATGTTGACAGAAACACGTATGATAAAAGCACAAGCTGGTTACTTTTTGGGTTGAGTTTGAGAGGGTTCCACTTTCTGTCCATGGATCATATTTGTATCCAAATACAATGGATTTTATTTCCTTTGAAATCTGACTCGATGAATTCAGTGCCCCTATCAACACTATTAGGCTAGCTCTGTCCTGGAACATAGGTGGAGTATGGACTGAGCCATGATCGAGATCTGGTTTTCACATATATTTTTCCCCAGGATGGCAATCAAAGAATCGGATTCTTGTGTGAAGCTTTAGGGTAACCGTTTTTATAACTGGAAATGAAGACCAAAATACAGTAGTTCAGATGAAAAACTACTTTCACTTTATTGACCATTTGTTAGATGTGAGGTTTGCTGCAATACGGTGTTATAATTATGTAATCAAGTGGTCAATACCTCTACTCTATATGTGTGAATTTATTCTTGAGCCAAAGTATTCACGTTTTGAAGAGACCCTGACTTTTGCTCTTTTTCCAAAAACTAGAAATAAATAATCAAATGGATCTTGTAAACTCAAGCTTTACATGCCCACATGGAATGTAATTTCTTACTGCTGTGTCCAGTTGTGCGATTCAGCTCTGCAGCTTACTTTTGAAATTACCATGGGTGGTTGGCAGGTGCTCTGGTGTGGTTTGCTTCTTCTTTCCTATCAAACATCTATCGTCCTTATATCCCCTTCTTCTTTTTTATGTTTGTTACTCTCTTGTAACACCTCTAATCTTCTGGCGCTCATATGACCAGTTGCGAATGCTGTAAAACCTCTACTAAAACTGTTGATCTATTGTTTTATGTAAAAGCCGATGGTCATGAAATATTACATCAGTCAGTCTAAAAAAAGAGTAAGTTGGAGGGTTTTAATTTGAGCCTGTGGGGCCCTTGCATCTAAGCCTTCTTGGGTCGACTTTAAAAAGTAGCCTACATGTTGTGCTGGCTACTGTATGCCTGAGTATTTGCTCAGGTCTAAGAGAGTCGTTCGTTTTTAATTTAGATTTAGTGAAAGCGTGTTTTCAAAATAGTGTACATTTGTATTTGAATTTCTTTTAAGCTTGCATCAACGCAATTTCGATCGTTTAGGAGACGGATCTTCAACCCTGCCTGTCATGGCCACACAGAGCTGAGAGGAATGCAATTATTACAGTCATGGCAGAAATGCAGAATTGAATCTCTCCCCACATGAGAATCAAAATAGGGTCTCCTGCATGCCATGGCAAAGTGCGTAAAAACTGCTACCAACATGTGTACACTCACACTAGCTGAGTTTTACAAACTTGCGAACAGGAAAATATAATTTTGTTTTGAATGTTGTTGTCACTTCAAAGACTGGACCCACTGGGTACCCCCCAAGCAGGACAACATAAAAGACTGCAGGTGCTGTGATCTGATTTGCTCCTTTTATCTTTCTTTAATTTAAATCACTATCAACAAACATCTATCGTCCTTTTCTCTCCTTTTGGTGATTGTTACTGTTCTCTTGTTACACCTAAATCTTTGGCATTATTACATATATAGTAGTGGGTTTTACGGCGCTTGCAACTGCATAATAAGGCAAGGTCATATGAGCGCCAAGGGGTGGGTGTCAACAGAGAAGTCTTTACAGTACAGGGAATCAGACTTATTCTGCTCACCTCTAGCTTCAACAGCACAAGGTCTGCTTCAACTATCAAGGCACCCCGGAAATAACAGGTCACAGTCACAAGAGTGACAAACATACAAAAGAAGTAGAGGACAATGACAATACAGTGGAGTCCACTTATAACGAGTCCTGAAATAATGAGAAGTCTGTTATAAAGACACTATTCTAAAACCCCGTTTTTCCCCTTTTTTATCTTTGTAAATAAATTACTGCTATTGCACAGTCACGCGAGTCGGTTATATAGCGGAATAATGCTGCTGCTGTGCACAGCACAGACCAATTAAACATATAAAACCTCGCCAGTTGAGAAAGTTGTTGGTGATCCAGCGAAACAAGGAATGGGAGAGCCCACGCGAACCAACAATGAAGGCCGGAGCGAATGAGTTGGGAGGGAGTGGCATGCGCAGACAAGCAGAACGCACCGCGTGATAGGCCAGCCCAGTCTAGATTATCTAGGCATACTGTGCCTCTCACTTCTCTGGTGAGGGATGGAGAGGTCACAATGCTGTGATTGATAGATGGAGTGAATGTGTGACGTGCACAAGCAGACGCAACGCACCACAGGGTGTGGTGGGGTGGGGAACAACACAGCGGGCAAGTTAACCTAGAGCCAGAGCCCCTTCTTTCTGATCGCCAAAGCCGAATTGTCAACATTGCTAGTGCTAGAGAATGAAAACTGATTCGATTTTTGATCAAGTAAGACCTAGAGATCATGTTGAACAAAATCATCATCAGGGGAGAAATCAAAGGGAAATAAACAGAACACCAAACTCATAGATTAGGCCTACTTTACTATTTCCCTTGAATTTATTACAGTCCGTGCCGGCTTTAAGCACCTTTCGGACTCAAGCACGCTAAACGGCTCTTACCGAATTTTTGCTATATATAAATTACACGCCTTTAAGCATGGTAACTTCGGCTTCAAGCACGCTTCATTTACAAGACAGTCAATATTTTCATGATGACCCATCGAAGTTCGAACACAGTTTACACCACAGCAGTGGAGTGTGACATTCAAGAGAAACACAAAGCACGCAAGTGATGGACACACACACTCACACGGGCGGAGAGGAAGGCAGAGAGGTGCAAGCGGACATAGGATCTAGCCTAGGCCTAAGGCAAAGCTACACACGACAAAAAAAAATAATAAAATACAAAGAGAGTCGGGGAGACGAGAAAGGGAGGCTGGCTGCGATTTCACCTTTGACCCTCGCTATCCATTAATCCTGATTGTGTATCACGCGCGAGGTGGGATGAAGGCGGTGGTATGAGTGGCACAGCAGGCAGTGGTACGCACAGGCAGTGTATTACAGTAGGCCTAGTGTGCTGTATCGTGACTGGCCGTCTAAATTAAGTGGTTTTTTATTTCCCATTCGACCACAAAACAAACAAGCGAACAAAAACTACCATGGCGGGTGTCTAAATAACAGTGCACTCTTTTGCGGGACCGCTATAGGCATACTTACAAACCAAGGGAAATTGCACGGAAATAATCTGTGGATTATGTCTACTTCGCACTTAAGCACGCTTCGGCTTTAAGCACGCTTAAGCTTTCTCCCGATGACCGTGCTTAAAGCCGGCATGGACTGTACTGGATCCCTAATAACGAAAATCCTGCTATAACGGACATTTCGCACCGGTCCCCTCCCTCTCGTTATAACAGGATTCCACTGTAGTAAGGATTAGGAAAGGAAAAGAAGCAGTTCCCTGTTGTAGATCAGGCACAGTTATGAACGTGACATTGATGAATCAGCACATTTACAATTCTACTATGTTTGAACGAGAAATGTCCCCCCTTTGGGAATGGCCTAAATACACTTCAGTCAGTGGCACTGCCCGGGGGGAGCCTTATTGACTTATTGTGTTGCAAGTGCTGTGAAACTCTTTACCAAGACTAAGTCTGAAGTGAAAGGAAATGTGTCCGAAGAATTTAATAAGTTAAGAAAGCCAAAAGAAAAATTTGATCCTTGAACCTCAGCATGGTGATTTAGGTGTTTTTTTTCCAACTACTATTACAATACTCGGTGGTCTTTTGGTAGAGATCACCTGAGTTTGGTAAATTTCACTTTACTTACAATTTACAAAGGATAATCTGGAGAGTTAATGACCCTGGTTTGAATCCCTTCTGGGATATTTTTTACCTAGATCTAGTTTTTATTTTTTTGTGGGTATTTTCAAAGCAAGGCTCTCTGCCTTATTTGGAGGCCTATGCTCTTGCTATTGTACTCTATTATAATCCAAATAGGTGGGTTAACCCACAGCTTATCAAACCATACTGTACAAATTGTATGTATCCGTAGAGTACGGTAGACCGTAGAGAGTACATTGTATTGGTTCTACTTAGCCTTACTGCTGATAGTGATACTTGTGTTTGTAGTGTATCACTACAGACTACAGTTACACGAATTCGCTTTCCAGGCTATTGATTTGAAGAGACTCATGAGCACCTCGAGAAGGGGACAGACACTCTGCTGAGGCAGCTGTACTGTGAGATCCATTATGGAGTATAAATGACTTTACTGATCTGCACAAATCAACACTAACTGCAGCATGTGGAATCCACATATTTACAAATAAAACTGCTCAGAGTCTCAGTCAGACTGAAAAGCGTTTAATTTTGATGGGCACGGTACATGTATAATAATTATAATTGGCTACGTTATAATTCACATACATTATGTAGATCAAGGGAGTGCTTATTTAGGCCACATATGGCCTAAATAAGGTCACCCCCCACCTAACACTATTTAGGCCACCTGTGACTAAAGGGGAGTAATCACCGGTCCACCAATCTTTAAAAAACCCTACTTGTTTCACTACAGTGACCACAGGGTCCACCTGTCCTAAAACCTAGTATTTCGCTAGGTAGTTAGTAGGTAGACACTAGACCTTGGGTCCACCTTAAATCTACTTATTTCACTACGTTGACCCCAAGCTACACCAATCCTTAATTAAAGCTAGATGTACTTATAATTTCACTACGTTGACCCCGGGCTCCACCAATCCTACTATAAAGAGATCTACTTATTTCACTATGCTGACTCAGGGGTCCACCTATTCTAAAATTAAACCTACTATTTCACTACGTTGACCCAAGGGTCCACCAATCCTTAGTTAAACCTATATCTGCTTATTTCACTTCGGTGACTCCTGGGTTCAAATACATATCCTAATACCTAAAACCTAGTATTTCGCTAGGTAGACCCCGGGGTCCACCTCTCC